ATGAAGTCACAAAAAGAAAAGAGAGAGAAAAAGAAGAGAAAAATTGAAAACAAAAGAGAAAATGAAAAAAAGAAAAGAGAGAGATGGGAAAATAAAAGTAAAAGAGAAATAAGAAAAGAGGAAATGAAAGAAAAATAGAGAAAAAAGAAAAGGGTGAAAATAAAACAGAGAAGAATAAAAAGAGATGAGAGAAAATGAAAAAAATAAGAAAAAAGAAAAGAGAGAAAATAAGAAAAAGTGATGAAAAGAAATGAAAAGAAAAAATACCATGGGATGGAAGAGGGAGATATATTAATTAACAGTTAAGAAAATAAACAACACTTTTTAAAAACATGCAATTACAAGGAAAGTTTTAAATTAGCAGGATAAAGTTGTTGATTAAGTGTAGGTTGCTCCCATTGAATGGGGATAGCTTGTTGGTTGGTTGTTGAAAGTTGGAAAGTTGTGGAAGCATGATCCAAGATGCTAAAACGCTCAGCAGAACATAGAGTGCAACGTTGTGGAGAATTTTGTAAAGGTCTGAAAATGTGAGAGGTCCTATCACTGACCAAGTGCTCATGCAAACTGTGGGTAAATGCAGAGAGGTTTCCTTGTAATTGCATACATTGTTCTGTTACTATTGTTTTTTTTTGTCCCGTCAGCATTTTGTTGTACACTTTAAATTCAACTTTGTATAAATCAGAACTGAAGATGACAGAAGAACTGTCAAAACATGTTTTTAAAAAGTGTCGTTTATTTTCTTAAATTAGACAGTTGTTAAAATTGGTATTGACTCATTTGCTCTTCTAAAACGGGGACAACTTGCTATCCAAAATAAAATTTGGGAATGCTCATTTTGGGGTGGGTGGGGCAGGGGAATAGTATTAGTGGTGAACAGTTGCATGTTGCAGTATATATTCAAATGAGTTTGGTTGCTGTGTTGAGTTGATTGGGACATGTAGAGTCATTTTTTACCAATTATTCAGCCATTTCATAGTCACGTGTCAATTCTAATCAAAATGCTACCATCCAAACTGCTGGCACATATCTTCTGATCAAGTGCTCAGTGTCATGGAAAAAAGAGCATAGAGAACAAACTTGCAACGAAATCTGCTGTGCTTGTTAACTGATAGATTATATGCTATGCTCAGTCACAATGGGTCTCACTGGGGGATCAATGAATGAATATCCATCTGTTTTACTAGAACCAAGAGAATACCAACTATATTTTCTCTTGGCTAGAACGAAGTACATAGATCTGAAAAATGGTTTGCTTTTCTCTTTGTTGGGAAGTTCAACTGTATGGTATTCCTGTTTTTTTTTTTCAATTTTTCATTTTGATTACAGAAACTGTTTACAATGTAGACAAAAAAAATCCTACAATCTACAACACAGAACTTACAGCATAGGTTACTTACAGCAGTGCTAATAATTGTGGTACCTTACAATACTTCTTGTTATCATACGTGTGTTACACTACTACTGATAGCGTTGCGTTACCAGCTATAAAACTACAACGTAACGTTTCGTAACTTTAAATATTGCACTTTTTGCGGAACTCGAGTGTTTTTTTTCTTTTTCCCAATTCCAGTCTCAAGGAACAATTTTTACAAAGTGGACAATACAATTTACGATACAATACTTACAGCAATGCTACTATTTGCGTAGCCTGCTGAGCAGGCGTAATTTTGGCGAGCGAGTGCGCAGTATCTTCTCAACAAAAATGGTAGCGGAAGGCAAGGCAGAAAGAGATTTGTACTAAGCAGCCGACCCCTACTCCTACCGTCCACTCTAACTCCAAATTAAACATGGCTGGTCGGATAAACGATCGCGAGCTAATAGCGTTTGCTCGCACCATTAAGACGCTTGCACTGCAGGCTACTAATTACGTTACCATCATAGCAATCATGTCAGAACCTTATAAGCTTCTGTCAATATTCATTGCAGGCTATGGTAGCGGAATTATTGCCAAGTACGCCATATCGATCTAGTAGCCTGAATTAACCCTTTAAACCCTGAGAGTGACCAACATCTAATTTCTCCCTACAATATCACCCCTGAATCAAACACTAAGGTCATAAGAATGAAGGAAATGATCACCAACAAAAAAGCTTTTGGTCCGTAAACAAATTCTCCTTGTCAGCACCTTAGGATATGTATAAAGAACAGTATGGAGAATATGTATAATGACATTAGGCTGTAAAGGGTTTATCACCAAGAGAGTATGTAATGGGGCATATTTCTACATTATTGATTACGATGCATGGAGATCCCCTGTGGAGCAGATATTGCTTAGTGCCCAACCTTAAATTCAAGAGTAACCACCAGGGAGTATGGTGCCATTCAAATGACGACTCTCAAAGAACTATTTCCAATAGCCTGGCATAAATGGAGAAGATCTTATTTGAACTTACCTTGTGAAAAAGTCAGTGAGTCGAGTGAGGCATGAACTACGTTTGAAGGGAAAAATTCACGGTTATGGGTTTTTTTATATTATATAGAGGGCAAAGTAGACTACATGAGCAAAACTGAGCTAAACTTCCCTATATCAACTTAAGAAACCCACACGATACAAAGGAACAACCCTTGTAGCGAGGTAAGTCTTCTCTATTATTCATAACTGGCTCGGTTTTCGAGGCAGAAAGCACACAACTGAAAGCAGGTTATTTTATATTAGATATCTTGGATAAAAGATTGTATAGGGATAAGTTATCACAGAGGATGCCGTTACACGCGTGCTATAGTGCTATTAAGTTGCGCGAACGTGGCTGAACAAGTATAACCAAGAAAAAAAAGGAGGACTGACAGATAATCGGGGCGTTGGCCAAGATACGTCGAAGACTAGAGTCGAAAAGTTATTGGAGGGTTTACACGAGTAATCCTTAGCTTTGCTTTTAACGCTGCTCTATCTACTGAGGAAAAAAAGGCCCTAACCGCCTGTTAACTAAAAACTATGTCACTGAGTGGAAAGCCAAAAGTGGTCGGCACTTCAGAAGATCAGATACATGTTGAATTAAATTAGTGAGGACTTTCCAGGAAACACATTCTCGTCCGAAAGATTGTGAGAAAAGATATCCCAAGGCCTGGATTAGAAGCCTCCATCTCTGTCCTATTATTTTCTAGAGGTATAACAGAAATTCAAAAAAACTTGACTCAACACTATAGAGCATCTTACAAAATCTAAGTACGGGGTAGTAAAACGCCAGTAACTTCTAGCACTGAAATTCCAGGGTACCATGCTCATTTAGAAGAATGGGACGAAAAGCCATGTAAGGTTAACCCTATAAACCTTACAAGTGATCAGCATTTAATTTCTCCTTGCAGTAATACTGTAAGCAGACCACATCATAATATGTAGAGTATGGATGTTGGTATGTAAAGAGCTAAACTGACACTTCCATAGTAATGTTGACCGAATGTTCTCAAATATCTCACTAGCACTGCTTTCCTCTGGTCTCTAACTGGTAAATCGTTCATTTTAACCAAAAAAATATTGGCTTTTTGCCATAATTAGCAATTTGGCTAAACTAGAAACTACGCATATTTGATTTTAGTATAAACGAAAACACTGCGTAACTACTTTTCCTGTTGTGGATTGACTTCTAGAGCAGATAAAAAGATTAGATCTAAACTTTTATTATAACCAATGAATGAGTTGCCAGTAATCAGATCCTTGTGTTTGCGCAAAGATTTCTGGGATCGTCACGGGGCAAACATTACACGTTAGAAGAAAATATATGGCGAAGGATTGTTTCGACGTCCAAAAAAAACGTTATTGTAGAGAGGTCAACGCTTTTTTCGCCGCAGTGTTATCATAAATAGATTAAGATAATGTTGATACGAGGGAAGAGAAAGTTCTCGTTAGCATTAGCACGAAATATCTTATAAAATATACCGATTTCTCTCCCAGCGTGAGGTCTATTGTGGAATCGTCATCGCGTAATGGTCTTGACATATTACAAAAGTAGCCATAAATCACAAGGAACTAACTCACTTAAGTCTTTTTAGTTGTATTCTTGCATAAACAAATTACTATCTCGGAAATTGAAATATACTTCCTCAAAGGAGAGAAGTCGTCGTCAGCGGAGATGGAAATTGTTTAACTGAGCTGTTGGTCTTAAGTTAAAAAGCGATGAAAAACAAAAGGAAATCCCTTGGTGAAGTGATGGCTAGTCGAGAAAAATCCTAATGTTTTTGAGCTGCCACTTTTCTTCTCGAGCTCTTCGGAGAATCTTGTCAGGAAAAGTAAGATCATGGGAACTCCGGAAGAAAATGTGGACATGCAATCAGTTCTGCATCGCTTCTTTAGCGACCCATTTGTACCTTTTAATCATCGCATAAGAAAAGGTTCAGTTTTGAACCGACAATCAGCGCTTTCGTTCTCATTGATCACAACAAAGAGGCAATGTAGGTGTTTAATCACTTAATGTATCACGATTATATCATTTCAATTTCCTGCTTCCTCGAGGTAGCTGTTGTAGCGTTCTTTTTTTTTTTCTTGTTTTACCAAGCTAAGAGAAAAGATAGCAGTGGTAACACTTGTAAATAAAACAGAAAATGCCTCATTGAGTTATTTCTTGGCAAATTATAACTGATATTTGTGAATTTCATAATTCTTGCGCATGGAGAAAAGGTAACCGCTAAATTTTACTAAATATTTCACGGTTGTTTGAACAAAATTTCGTGCAACCCTTGTATCGATAATACCCGCACCCATTTCTGATTTAACAGTTGCAGTGTTTGCTCGGTGGCGATCCCAGAAATCTTTGCGCAAACGCAAGGATCCGATTACTTGCAACTCATTCATTATTCCTATTAAAACCTGAAAATAGGTGGTCTGAGACTGCATGTGAGTACTGATATGGCACAATTTTTATAGCACTGAAAAAACCAAAGGTTGTAAAATAACGTTAGAAGGTAGTGTTGCTGAAGATTTGTATTCACATTCAAAACAGAAAACCTGTGATTCAAGAGTTTAGTGACTAATTGACGTGTAACCAAGAATGAAATAGTAAAAATTAATCATGTTAATAATGATAATAGTAATAGTGATAACGGTAGAAATGCTGCTTTTAATTTTTTCTATTAATCATGAAAAAGATATTGCAATTCCATTTTTGGCAGACTTAAGTTTCAACAAGGCATTCCATGTTTCAGGATATTCCGTCATTCTGTGTTTTAAGACTTTCCGCTATTCCACCGATCCGGCATTCCACCGTTCTACCGTTCCGCGGAATGGGTCATGTCATCTTGTTGCACTCAAGGCATCGTAATTTCGCATTTTGTGCGCTTCGCAAATTTAGCGGCTCTTTTGGCAACTCCCTTTAAAGAAAAAAGTTTCCTCTAAGTTACTCGTGAGGTGCTGTTCACCGTTTATTAAGATATTTCTGTAGGAAAAAGTTTTAATTTGTTTTGTTTTGTTTTTTTAATCATGCGTCGGCGAGAGGCCATCGTGAAATGATTGAGATGTTCATTGTCTTTCATCCTGTCATGGGAAGAACTGCAAATATTACACCTTAAGTTTTGTTAGCCGCAATCTAGTGAGAATGTCGAGCTACGAAGTCGAAGTCTTCTCCCTCCCCCTCGACAGTGTAAGACAGGTATCTTATATCCCAAACACGTTAAGTGATTGCTGCTGTTTTACCTGGTTTATGAACATGAGATCTATGCGTGGATCCATTCGAAGCTTCAACATCAATCCCTCGTGTATTTGAACTTTTTAAGATTGGATCGTCCAAATTCCTACCAAAATTGCGTTCAAATGCCCCGTCCTACAGTAAACAATTTGTGTGATCAGCGAATGTTGTTAAGTTAAGTATTGGTTTTGAGTGCTGCTGTTGGGTTTCCTGCTTGTAAGCATCATTCTACGAAATTAAAATCGTCTCTCTAAGCCATTCGGTCACGAAAGCGGACTCTATACCTTTTAAGACATAGATATTTCGCTGGAAAGACTTCACACCCCCGGTTCAAATGCCCCACCCCACCGAGGCAAGGTTCAAATTCCCCACCACCCGAGCACAGACGACGGTCAACTATCCGTAGGTTGCCCGGGGGGGTGTTAAAGTATTATGCGTTCCGATTGGCACTAACATTTTTTTGGTAGCATTCACATCTATTCAGCTTCTTCCCAGCTCCCGGTAAAAAAAACCCGACAGGAGCTGAAACGCGGTTTTTCCTTTCATTTAGACGAAAACGACGATAATGAAGATTATTCCGCTTATTGGGAAGAATATATGAAGAGATTCCACATCTTCATGAAGGTTAGTGGGCCCAAATTTATGATTTGCCCTTCAACGAAGCCCTCTTATTAAGTTTTTTGTTTGATTTAAAAAAGACTACGCACTTAAATTTATCGAGGATGACCACTTTTGCGTTCCATGTGCATATTTCATGAGTGATTAGGTCTAAGCAGCTGTTTAGGGCTGTAAATTGTTAAGAAAAGAGTTCTCAGGAAAATCTTAAAGGGATTTCAAAGTTTGATGTTAGCTGATATTAGCTTAAGCCCTCCTCCCTTGAATCAACATTCTTTGAGATCCTCAATGATCTCATTCTTTTTCGAAGGGAAATGGACGGTATCCTTTTAAATACGGAGTTTGGCTACGGCAACGTCCTCATAAAGGAAAAGCGATTCCAGAAGATGTCCGTATGAAATTAATGAAGCTTCTAGACATCGAGTCCAAGCCCGGAAACTGGAGGTATCTGGCTGAACGTTTGGGGGCATCTTACTTAGATGTACAATTCCTGGAAAGCCGTAACCGTGAGTCACCAACGCAACACGTCCTCAACGTATTTGAAACAATGAACAAGCCTTTAACTTTTCTGAGAGATGTCTTCATTGACCTTGACCGCCACGATGTTGTTACTGTGTTAAATGACGAGATTAATTGATGCCAAATAGGCCACTGGTCAGGGAATGAGCCCACACTCCTCCCGCTCCTCCTCAACGAAATCGATTGGATTCGTAATGGCTGTTTAAGACACAAGACAGCGAGATCCACTTTGACCTTACCGCACAGACGTTGTTGTGTTAAATTACGAGATAAATTAATTCCGAGAAGGCCACTGTTTAGGGAATGAGACCACGCCTACTCCGCTCCACAGAGAAATCGAGCTTGGATCCGCAGTGGTTGTTAAAGACATAGGACAGTATTAACTCAACGCTCAGTGCAGTCCTCATGTTGCTCTTTTCATAAGGGATATATGTTCCTGATTGTCATCTTGATGACGTTAGCGTTGTTACAGGAAAATTTATTGATTTTTCCGTGTGTTTGACTGGAACATACTAATGCATAAACTTTTCATGTTAGCCGTTTTCGATTTATTCAAGTTTTTTCGCTCTAGTATTTCAAAGAGTATAGAAAAGCCACAGAACCTTTTGAATCGCCAACTATTATATTATTACTTATTACAAATGTGCTTTTATGAAAGGTTTTGGTTTTTTTAATACGCAATAAGTATAGCAGCAGAACAAGAAAAGCAGAGAATGCAAATAAATCCATTTTCATGTTAACCATTTTCGATTTATTCAAATTGTTTCGCTTAAGTATTTAAAAAAATATAGAAAAGCCACAGTAGTTATTGAATTGCCAACTATTATATTATTGCTTATTACAAATATGCTGTTATGATAGGTTTTCTTTTTGATACGAAATAAGGATAGCAGTAGAATAAGAGAAACAGGGAGTAAAAATAAATTCATTTTGAACGTTACGAGGCGTCTGAGTGTTTCTTGTGGCGACAAATTTTGGCATTAATTGAAATCATTGTAGTTTCCTCGAATGTGATTGGTGTAGGAACTCCTTCATTTTCAGTGTATCCAGACGGTCGGTCGTAATTGGGCACTTCTAATCGGACAGTTACATCAGCCAATCACACCGAGTATATTGAAATGAATCTGCCAATCACATAATTGATTACAGTAAGTATAGCAGCAACTTACCACGCAAAGCTGAGGATTTCCAAAACCCGAGGAATTTAATACATTCGGTAATATCCATGCTGCAGATGTTTTCTCTTATTTTGGAGAAAAGATTAAAGTGTTACTCTTACTTTTCTAGTAGTTTGACATTTTATGATACGAAAACTGATCTTCCGTGCTGTAGACAACAAAACTCGTCGAGGTTTGTTGGGTCACCACGAGTCAATCGATCAAAGAGGCGTCCAAGACATGGTAAATTCCCCAAAACAACTAAGAATGCACATTTTATGATTGGAAAGCCTAAGCGTCTCTCTTTATTCGTAATGGGAAAATTCTACATTACAGCCGAACTCATGCTGGACAGAAAATTGGCTCAGCCACTATAAGGTAGGCCTCTTTACTCACTTACATTTTGTCTTTATTCGCACAATCGCCTTTCTCTGACCTGAATCGATAACGTCTTCTAAGAAAACGGTTTGTACATTTAATAATACGAGTGGACCTAAGATTTGATGTAAGTGAAATCATTTGATGTGAAAACGTATATGGATCTATGTTAGTATCTGACCAACTGAGTACCTACCCCTCCCCTAGCACAAAAACAGCCCACTGATAACAAGTATGGGTTAGGGCTGGGTTAGGGGAGGGGTTGGTGAGCCGTTGCTCAGACACTGACACTGATCTAATACTCTGTACAAGCAAGTTGGACAGCTCGTGGTCTTGTCTCAACGACATACAGGAAAGAACTTTGATAACGTTAAACTTGATTTTCTTCTGTCCGATATATCAGTTGCTGTTTGTTGTGTTGTTAATTTCTGAATATCATCATTGCAACCAAGTAGTCTAACCGCTTCTTTGAGCTGACAGTTTAAAGTGGTTTGTTGTTGCTAATTGCTAATGTTTTATTTGTTTCTTTTGTTGTTGTCGTTGTTTTGTTTTTAATTTTTTCTTTTTTCCTTGCTTTTCTTTTTTTTTTTTTCTGACGTCAAGGAGTCTGATCAAAATATTAAAAAAGCGGGATCAAACACAGAGAAATATATTTTCTGTCCATGCACCGTTGAAGCGTCTCCTCACTTGCGACTCTTGCCCCCAAGCTGTTAAGGGTGCCAATTTGAGAATGCATCACATCAGAAAATCATTACAAATACGCATTTATACACGCTCACTGAGGAGTAGATCGAAAACAATAATGTCACGTATACTGTGTCTTCTACACCAAGTAAGAGCCCATTTTTTACATCGGCTCAAACTGGCGCGCACTTCATAAAAATGCACTTATCCCCTGGAAAAGGTTGCGATAAACGAAGGTTACGAGGCCGGCGAGGATCCGGTGCATCTAAAAGAAATCAGGAATAACTCAAAAGAGGACATCGGCCAAGTAAGCTCGGGAGTTGATTCATCGAACGCAATTTGCAAAACGTTGGAAGATAGATCGAATTCGGTGAAGCGATCAAATTGGCGATATCTGGGCCCCGTTATCATCGCACGTTTGATTTCAGTTGTTGCCCCTCTTCTAAGTTTGGTGATGGTTTACGGAAAAATCGGCAAAAAGTGGGAATGGTCCAAAATTGAAAATTTTTAGTTTGGTGAAAATCTCGTCAGTTAAAATAAGAATCATCATATGGCGGTTTACTGTTTCCTAGAAACACACGGGAAGATTTGTCTACAAGAGTGAGGGTTTTATTGTTTTCTGTTGCTTTTTTTTTTCTTTTACTTATATTTCAAACAGTTATCATGGATCTTGTAAAGTTTGTCTGTTTTGAAACTATAGAAATTCTTATTTTGTCGTGAAACGTTTAAATATCATTCTCCAAACTGCAGTGAGATGGCTGGAATGATTGACCAAGACTCAGTGGGGTGACCTACACGAGAAAAAGTGGACTTCCGTATAAATATTTTAGATTCTTTCTTTGAAAAAAGGCTTGAGATATAAGCTCTGGGCAAGAAGTGACTTTCCAAGTTATTTATAAGTAAGGATTCAGTCCCGTTTTACAGCGAGAGTAAAAATTTCTTGAAAATCCTGAGGTATTGTCCAAAGTCATACACTTTCGCAAAAGTTTATCACTAGATTAATGGAACGTCGGTGATGATGTTGACAAGATTAGGGCTTTGGAGGAGAACATGAAAAAGCTGACAACTGATGCTGACATGATTAGGGTTTTGGAGGAAAACATAACGATCATTCAGCGGGACCTTGTAAGGAAAGTATTCTATAGATTCAGAGGTGGGTTAAGCTTTGAAATGAAACTCTTTATGTGTGTCTTTTTCTCTGTATCAACCCAGTGAAACCAAATCTCATTATTTGCATATATTTACTAGCTGTTGCGTTTCGTTTTCAGCATATTCGCGCGCTTTGCGGAAGTTTGAACGTTTTGTGTTGGCGGCGAGACAACTAATATGTTTGGTTTTGCTCATTAAAGTCAGATGATTGCATCCTCAAGTGCAGAATTAGTCTGGATTTCTCTGCCGATCTTGTGATCAAATATGCTCTTTTTTGGCCGGAAATTCTGGCCTTCGCATTGCAATGTACTGGACCATTTACTAAGCTTGCTTAGTGTTACCAATTACGGCCCAAACATGCCATATCTTAATCTAAGTTGTTGTTTACTTTTGCATCACGCATTTCTAGGAATCTTAGGTAACATTACTAAAGCTGCGTTTCGGCGAAAACTGGGAAACTCGAAGTTACAGAACGGAGGGACAACGAAATCAACAACGGTCGAAAGCGCCGTGCAATGGAAGGCGTTTGTCTTAATAATCTGATTAAGGTGAAGGAACATTTTAGATAAACTTAACAATTATCACTGTACATTACACCCACAACGAATTGCTCTGTTTAATAGTTAAAGATATAAGCCAAATGTTACATACTAAGCAAGTGACAAGACTCAAAACTGTTCGGTGAAGCTGGTATAGGTCTGATAACTACGGGTACGTTAGTCCTTTGGCGACCTAAACTATCCTATTAGAACAAAATCTACATATTTGTGAAACTATGCAGCATTGTGAACAGATGTGTTGTTTGTAATCATTCCAGACACAAGTTTTAAAACTTATGTCATCTTAAATCATAATCTAAACGAGATCTTAACCGAAACATTTGAATCTCAAATTTACATTGATATCTATCAACTCCTTCGCTCATCAATTTTAGATAGTATTTAAGTAAATCCCTGAGCCGGACAGTTTTTAAGAGGTTTTGCTTTTTGAATTCTCTACGTCGTAGGTTTTCACTAAATAATGATCCTGTTGTTGATCTGTCTTTAGTTCCATTTCTGTTTGTGTGACAAATCAAACTTTGCTTCTTCTTTTTTTTTACAACTATGCAGCGACTACAATGAGATTAAACAGCTGCAGCACTCAAATGTTCAACATATGTTTTGAAAGAAGAATTGTCATAGTCATTAACAAACGTAAACACATCGATTTGATGCGATACCACAGCCTTGTTCTACACAAAAATCGCTCTGCTGTTACCTTCGCTCCTATCAAGTATAGCGACTGCGACGTGTCCCTTAACGGTGACTGTGACTCCTCGGGTAGAAACCTGTTCATTCGCGGCGAGTTCAATGCTGCGAACAGATTCATGTCTGTCATCTTTTAAGGCGTAAACGGTAATTTTTACGCAGTATCCCGTTCCCATAGAATTCTTACAAGGTACAACCACAACTACATGACTAAGTGCTTGGTGAAAAGCAATGGAGGGCCTTGATCTTTGGTTAGAAGGTCCTTCTTGTTTATCTACGTTAAACTGGAATGAATGTTTTCCATTTGGAAAAAAGACGTGAACGGTAAGAGAGCAATCATCGTCCTTGTCCAGGACAAGAATACGGCCATCTCCAGCTACAGTCAAATCTTGTGAACATTTTAAGTGTTGTTCTCCGAAGCTGCGCATGAACTGTCCTGCTTTGTTGTAAACCGCCACAATGCTCTTGGAACAGCTTTGGTCCAAAACGTCGGCTATCACGAGAACTTCGTTTTCTCTGTTCAATGTCATCCTTAAGACTTTTCTGGGCTCTTCTTTGAGAGAAAAGCATTGTGACACAGCCTGCTTCGTAAACACATATACTTGGTAGTACGAAATCGTCGACTTCTCCACCTCAATCAAGATATAGGCGTTGTCACTGTCATCGGTAGCTACATCCGCAATGCTTGAGACTGTGTTGGGCTCTTCACTCGGAGGACACGGAAATGAGTACTGGAACTTGCCAAAGCGATCGTAAACTTTAACATTGCAATCCCATTCATCGCCAACAATGATGCGACCTTGTGAGTCTGCAGCAATACCCTGTGGTATTTTAAGCTGGTTGTCTTTTTCATCTTGTTGGCCAAGTGTCAAGGGCTGGACGGAAAACTGCTCCATTTCAAGTCTACAAAGAATTTCGGCGACTCTGGAGTCATGCAGTGGATTTATTGCATCCTTTCCCTCGCCGATCAAAGGTAGCGAGAGCAGCTCCCCACTTTTACCGATCATCGACATGACGTCGTAGATGGCCCGGTTTATTTGACAAACAGACGCGATTATCTGCCTGCGCTCTTCTTTGCCAAAGAGAGGTCTGCGAAAACCCTTCGTTAGTTCTCCGCTAAAACTTTCCTGCACTCTCTTCAAGGAGTGCAGATCTTCAAGACACATTTTGCATACCGCTAACGCCTCTTGGGGATGATCCACGTTTTCGAGAATTTTTGCTGCAACACGGATGGCTATTGCTTGAACGCGATTCAACGTGCTCAGACCTTCATTATTAAACGCTTCTGTTGCTTTCAGGCGGGCCTGGTGAAAATCCTCTTTTGCAGTCAGTAGCGCTCGGTGGCCTTCTTCATCCAAGTTTGCCAGTTTGAAGTCTTGCAAACCCTGATAAAATGTACTTGAAAGATCTCTTGGTGATTCTTGGGACACATCCTTCTGATTTTCTGCAGATAAATCTGCGGTTAACTGTGCTGTTTTTGAGCGATAATCACCTCTTTCCTTTCTGTCTAATACTTTAAAAAGGGAAAGTAGACCTTCTTTAAACAAAGTGATACTTGTTAGAAGATGTGATTTTGCGAGTGCATCCAATTGAAATTTTATCAATTCGATTTCACTGACGACATCTTCTTCCATCATTCTTCCTTCAGTCTTTCGAGCCTTTCTCGTAAGCAAGCTAATAGCAGCCTCAAACAGATCTTTTCCATCTGAAGCCATCTCGTCTGATGAAAAAATAGTTCGCGATAGCCTCTCAGCTTCAATTTTACAGATGTACCGTGTTACAGCGAAAATTGTCTCTGATTAATTTCCTGTGATTATTCAAATAGTGAATCTTTGCTGGTCGATCCGGCGGTATCTGTCACAAAAAAAGCATCGACTTAACCTTTATCATGGAGGGTCTGTATGATGCATTGATAGAAGGTTCGAGTTACATCACATTTCTCCAATGTTTGATTGGCAATTACAAGAGACGTGTCATGTTCATCAAACATGAATTTGCACAGACTAATACTGAACTTGGTAATCAGTGTGTATCAAAATTAAAAAACACAGAAAGACGCCGACAGAGAAGTCTGAATATGCGCAAATTTTAGCAAGCATTTATTGATACAAGATCAAAATATAAATTCATTTTCAGAGTTCAAATAGCTCCCGACAGCTAGGGGTCAGATTTGTATTTGTTGGAGACAAAGCGGATGGTGTCTTACTAAAAAACAACACTATTCCTGAATAAGTGTCGCCCCAGAGTGGCTGGGCCAACACATCAAAACATGATCTTTAAATCACTACCACAGAACTGTCTTAGGGGACCATCATATTCCCTTGGTCGCTGTTATTCACGCTGAGAGTTAAGAAAAAGAGACCAATCTAGCTAGCATATGATGAAGTGTCCTTATTCAATCTTAATCGTTTATGTTTACATGAATGCAGTACAAGAAAGAAAAAAAGCGTCGGTATCTATAAGATTCTAAGCCTGCCTTTCCAACAGTGGTGCCCGAAAATAAACACCCGTTCATTTACTCAAACGCCCTGGCTCGTTTTCAAACAAATACTGCAAGTAAATTGATGTATAGTCTCCACCCAGGATGCGGTAAGAAATCCTGTTTACAAGACGCGCTTGGCAGAGATAATTAAGATCTAAAAAAAACAAACACAAAAATGGTCCCATACATCGTCCTCAAACATTTTCTTAGTACCTCTCAATCAGGAGGATAAAGATAATCACTCATTAAAGCTAGAGCGCACTTAAAGAAGGATTGCAATCAGTGTAGAAACGACAACATTTACAGTTCATGTATGGCACAATTACCTGTTTACGACCTACAGAAGCGCTGGATGTAGAATTTGACTCCACTCGCAGAGAGCAACTTTTTTCTCTTCCCTTACAAATCTCACTTTAAAAGAGGAGAACAAGCAATATCACAACTCTACATGTCTCTCAAGGACAAGATCACGATCACATCGGAAGTGCAAAATTGGACTCATTCTTGTCATCAAAACTATGCAAAACATATGCTTCCAGGCCATATTCAGTTGACTTTGAGAATATTTGATACTAAAAGAGTTACTTTGCATTTATATTTAAACTTGAAATGGCCCAACTTTTCAAGGCTTTGGGCGGTGCATTCAGTCTTTATTGTTCAAAAACAACGCTCGTCCTGCGACTATGGAATTCAATCCAAATCAATTATCTGTGCTAAACTAAGCGTATGAAAAACTTTTACGCAAGAATGTCAAGATGTCATCCAAAGAAAGTAAATTTTTATCTCTCGAGTCACCACTTTTGGTTGCAGTGTAAATATTATTTTGTTTCTGGGAAAAGCAACTCGTGAAGGAGGGAGAGGCTTCTGTTATTTGTGCACCATAACTAAGTTCGTTAAATTAGGTTATTGGTCCTAAATAAGTATGACTAATTCATTTAAGTCAGTAGAAAATCTTTTCTGAATCTATCCATAATTTTCTTTTCCTCAGCGAAAGAAGCATGGTCCTTCAACGGCTGTTCTACACGAATATCTGAATGAAATCACCTTTCAGACAAAATGAAATCACATACTATTTAAGACAAAAGTTTTCCCCAGAAACATTGTTTTCTCTATTCAAGAAGTTCTTTTGTGCCCTCTTCAAAGTGTTCTTTTGTGCCCTCTTCAAAGTGATGTGTTTCAAGCTCAAGTGAAAGAGCCTCACATTTTTTTTTAACTTGGATTGCCTCCAAAATGATTAAAGATATGTTACGTTTTCAAACAGTCAAAGATATCAACGACGCGATGCAAATGAAGCTTTTTCAGACTTGAAAACACTCTTTGTTATCCCTGTGTCATTTTGTTGATGAAGGGTGTCTTTATTCAAACAAGCTGTCTACTTTCGGGCCTTGTGAGACTCATTTTTTTCACACGTGATTGACTTTGCGGTCCGTAGATTTACTTGGGTCAAGACTCTATCAGGCTTTTATTCTTATTCCGCGTATTCTTTTCAAGTTTCATTTATTTTCAGAGCTTTCATTTTGACGCATTGATTGTCGACTGACATACCAACGTATCTATTGTTCAGTGTAGGTTGGTTTGGAGCTCAGCAAAGTAAAAAAGTGTAAGAGATGGAATTAGCACCTTCGTTACTACTAGGTCTCTGTGGGTTTAGTTTGAAGGCTTGCCAGAGGCTAGCTTTCAAAAAGCTTCAAGATGACGATACAAAACACAAAACGCTGTTGCATTTAATCGTAAGCCGTATTGACGAAGTCGCGTTACTAATCAAGAATCAGAAAAAATGGCAGCTTAAAACAAGTTTGCAAGAGTTTCAAACAGGCCTGAAATACTTGGAGAAGGAGTTAAACAACCAAAATCGTGACCAGGTGGAAAAGACACCGCGTGCAGAATTGAAAATGAAGAACACTTTTGTAGAAGCATCTTTGCTGACAGAGACCATGACACATTTATCAAAGCTGGCTGACCTCGATGAAGCAGCCGAAGGGCTTAAGGATGCCCGGAAAATGTTCGAGAAGGCTTGTGATAATGCAAGGGCTGCTTTTAATAGCGATGGCCTTTCAACAGCTGAGCAGATTCTTGCTGCCAATATTGGCGTTACGGCTGCCATACTGACAAAGATTAAAGATCCCTCGAGGGCACTACCGGTATGTGAAATTTGGCTCGGATATCTTAATAAAATGGAAAAGGTCAAGGAAATTTTTAGACATATCTTTAGAAGCGGAAAAAAAGATCTCTTCAGAGGCGACGAACACACCAAAAACTGTTTCTTGGGTGTGTATCACACTAATAGCGTCGTTTACGAAATTAGCCGAATTGCTGAAATTGCTGACAAACCCGACGAACTTTGTTGGATTTGGCCCTTCATTGAGGTGGAAAAGAAGAAAGTCGACCCATTGCGCGACATAAGAGTTTCTGAAACGCTTTCTAAAAATGGTGATATGGAGCGCTATCGCTTTCCATGGTCATTTGGTCAAGGCCCCGAAAAAGAAAAAAAGTTGAAGGTTGCACAAGACATTGCCATAAACAAAGAGGGACATTTCATAGTAGTAGACAAAGGTGATCAGATGGTTAAAATTTTCGACGAAAAGGGAATCTTTTGCGCTCTTTCCAACCCCTCAGTCGTCGATTGGCTGACGAAGATGTCTGTGGTGTAAGTACTGATCACGAAGATAATCTGTTCGTGCTGATCATGATAGATAAATATCACCACGAAGTCCGTGTGTTTGATCAAAACGGTAACTTGAAAAGCAGGTTTCGCTTGAGGGAAGGATCAGTACGCTGCTCGCTGGTCGCCAATGACAACAAGGAAATCCTTGTCATTAACGAGGAACCTGCATCGGATCGATGTGTGGTGGAACTTTATGCGCATAAGAACGGCCGGTACGTCCGCAGCATTGTGCCGGAAGACCCAGCAGAGCCCAGTGAACCTGAAGAGGCAAATGGATTAAAGAGTCCAAATGAAGAAGACCCTAAAGAGCCCAAAGCACAGAAAGAGACAGATCGTTCTGAAAGTACCCCTAAAGGAACCAGGAAATCTAAAGAGCCTAAAGACAAAGACACAAAAGAGCAAAAGAAGTCCCAAGAGTCAAACGCCCCCTTGAAACCAAAAGATATAGCTATTACTGATAATGGAATCGTATTGGTATTGAACGACGATGGTAGCGTGAAAAAATTCGGTGGAAAAACACAGCCTCATCAGATGTACGAAGAAATTAAAGCAAAGGGAGGTGAAACTATAGCATTCCATTCCCCGAGCAAACATGTCCTCATTGCGAACAGATCAGATGGAATCGTAAAAGTTTCAGTGTTCAGTGAATGCGGCAAACTCGTGACCAGTTTTCGTGTATACGAGGATAAGGATGTCCAGGAGAAAAAGGAATATACTGCACCAAGGATTGCAGTGACTGCGGATGGTCGCATCGCCGTGCTCAATGGATCTGCGGGCGAAAGTAAAGTAACTGTTGTTTAAAGAAAACTGTCGCTTCGTTTTGACATCAGTCAGAACCTCTCTTAAAGCCCAGAACTCCTAGTTGGTTCGGAGTGACAAAAATTGTCAGTGTTTTAATGATGGAAATTCCTGAAAAGCTGCGAACATCCTAGTGACATTTTTTTCTTTTAAGCACTGATCCATTTCGTAGACAATCCCTTTGGATTCTTAGAAATACCGGAAGGTAAACAAACGTATTGAAGGCACCGCTTCGAGTTACTTCATTTGCATGTGTATTAGGCCTGCTTTCATGATATATTACCTTGTACGCTGTGGATAAAAGTACCATTATTAATATGTACAACTGATCATCTCATTGGCTATATTAGGTTTCAACGAAATTTGGTAGAAAGTGATTATTTTTAGAAACAGCGATGTTTAAGGTCACTTTTAAATTGTTTATTCAGCTAAAAGTCAATCTATTCCGGCTTAGTTGGAAAATATTTAGAGTAGCGATCGCATATTAAAAACGTCGTGATCTTCAAGGGTGGAAAAATGTTACATGTATAGATTCAACAATTTTTACTTTAAGGTCGTCGCATAAAAGTTTAGTATAAAAGTAAATTTTCTTCATTTTAAGATAGTACTTTCCTGTCCCGTAGTGTGCTTGACAACGTGTGCCGTCTGTGCGTCTA